TCAATTAAAGTTGACCCCAAAGACAAAAAGTAACTTATTTCCAAACTACAGCAATTTTTAAAGAACCAAGGGGCATCTCTGACAATAGAGTCCCTAAGAAAGAAAAAGCATGCTTGTTATTTTTTTTGGTGCACCTGGCTTATTAGATCTGTTTACCCCAATATGGTGTATCTGATGCTTCTATTTGCAGAACACCAGAAAGCGGCATCTATTGTATGAAAGCTCATTCCTGTCCTAGCCCTGGCTGCCTTAATTATAAAACAAATTCACTCATTTTTGACATACCTGCTAACAAGTTGTAAAGAAAAACACTGCGTTTACATGCGCTATAAAATACCTGTCACACTATTGGATTATTTGTCCATGTAACCAACTGCTATTTTTCACGCCAATTTTAATGTGGGCTATTGCACCAATCTCCTGGTATTCAGTGGTGTTGTCCCAATTTGTCCCTGCAGTCTGGGAGCCTTTGAATGGGGCCCCCCCCTCCTCCCTGGCTGCTCCTATTTACAGGAACAGTAAGGAGAGGAGGTGAGAGAGGGGCCCCCCAGCTGGGTGGCAAATTGTAAAGCAATTAATCAAGGCAGTTAAAAGGCAGAGTGGACAGGCTGAGGCTGTGAGCCCCTGCCTGTCACTGACACACACTGTTTATCATGGAAATGTGACTGGCCTAGGGAGGGGGGCCAATGCTGCTCTTAAATGCTGGCCCAGCATCTTTACGGAGAGTACTTCCGCTAACCATTTACTGAAAAAACTGGAATAAGTCAGTAGTTGAAAGTTAGCTCTTTCTTCGCTTTAGTACGTTCTATCCTTGTGTGTCCAAAATTAAGCCTTAAGTCAGCACAGACTTTACAGGTAACCGGATACATGCACGCTGGCATCATTAAATCACTCTTCTAATGCAATTAAAGGGAACATGCATGCAATTTATGTATGATAAGATTTTTTATATATACACTATATTGCCAAAAGTATTGGGACACCCCTTCAAACCATTGGATTCAGGTGTTCCAATCACCTTCATGCCCACAGGTGTATAAAATCAAGCACCTAGGCATGCAGACTGCTTCTACAAACATTTGTGAAAGAATGGGTCGCTCTCAGGAGCTCAGTGAATTCAAGCGTGGTACCGTGATAGGTTGCCACCTGTGTAATAATACCATCCGTGACATTTCCTTGTTACTAAATATTCCACGGTCAGCTGTTAGTGGTATTATAACAAAGTGGAAGCAACTAGGAACAACAGCAACTCAAATTGGTAGGCCATGTAAAATGACAGAGTGGGGTCAGCACATGCTGAAGTGCGCAGTGCACATAAGTCACCAACTGTCTGTAAAGTTAATAGCTAAACACCTCCAAACTTGGTGTGGCCTTCAGATTAGCACAACAATGCGTAGAGAGCTTCATGGAATGGGTTTCCATGGCCGAGCAGCTGCATCCAAACCTTATGTCACCATGTGAAATGCAAAGCATCGGATACAGTGGTGTAAAGCACGCCGCCACTGGACTCTAGAGTAGTGGAGACATGTTCTCTGGAGTGACCAATCACGCTTCTTTGTCTGGCAATCTGATGGCTGTGTCTGGGTTCGGCGTTTGCCAGGAGAATGGTACTTGCCTGACTGCATTGTGCCAAGTGTAAAGTTTGGTGGAGGGGGGATTGTGGAAGGGGGATTATGTTGTGGGGTTGTTTTTCAGGGGTTGGGCTTGGCCCCTTAGTTCCATTGAAGGGAACTCTTAAGGCGTCAGCATTCAAAGACATTTTGGACAATTTCATGCTCCCAACTTTGTGGGAACAGTTTGGGGATGGCCCTTCCTGTTCCAACATGACGGCGCACCAGTGCACAAAGCAAGGTCCATAAAGACATGGATGAGCGAGTTTGGGGTGGAGGAACTTGATTGGCCTGCTCAAAGTCCTGATCTCAACCCGATAGAACAGCTTTGAGATTAATTAAAATGGAGACTGCGAGCCAGGCCTTCACATCCGACATGAATGCCAGTAAAGCATCATCGCTGCTTAAATTCGTGTGTTTGTAGACACTAACTTTCACACAAACATATATACACACTGTATATACATACATACACACATATATATATATATATATATATATATATACATACACACACACACACACACACACACACACACACACATATATATATATATATATATATATATATATATATATATATATACACACACACACACACACACACATATACAAATATACACACACACCTATATTTGCTCAAACAGAGCTTCAACGCTTTCCAGCACTGGTTGTGCTTTACTGCTTTCCTCTCATACAAGTTTATAGGTTGGGCTGACTCTTTGAAAAGAAATCACACTCTTATCACAACAGGGGTTCATAAGGGGGGTAGAGGGGCAGCAGCGACTCACCTACTTTTACCTTCATTATTTAATAAAACTATATATTGACAAACAAGCATGCAAGAAAGTAAATATCACAATAAAGCGCTTTAATGTGAACCTGTGCTTTGCCCATGCTAGCTCCCACAGCTGCTTATACTTACCTTTCCTTCACTCCTACACAGGTCCCTTTTCTCAAGAAAACTCTATGAAAGTATCATGTGATGTCTTGGTGTTTACATGGGACCTCTTCTCTTCAGTCCCAGCAGCCACAGTATAAGCAGCTTTGGGAACCAATAATGGGATGAACCTAGTGCCTTTTCCTGCATGGTTAAAGCACATATATAGTCAAATATGTCAGCTATGGCCTTCGGTCCAAGGCAGACACATAGTGAAATTTTTACCTATGAAGAAAGGCCAGTGCTACAAACTTGCCGCCAACACATTAACAGGGCACTAAAAGGGAACAAGAGCAGCAACCCAACAGAGGCTGGTGTTTTACAGCAGGTACAAAAGGGCAGGCTGGGTAAACAAATTGTTCTAAATATACTTAAGTGCCCGAGCTGCTAATCGTTCTGTGATTATAATCTAATTATACAGCCATGCTTCACCAAGCAGAGGCTGCAAGAGAGATTTATAGATGCTGGAAAGGAACAAAGCCCTGATGTTGCACATTAAAGACTAGCAGAATGCCAAATAAAGGTAAATTATTAGAATGGGACAGTAACGGTTAAAGATATAGCAATGCAAACAGAAACACAGCTGACCATTAACAGTAAAACATCCAGGCATGCAAACCCCCCCCCCCCCCCCCCCAAAAAAGCAAAATAATAAAATTATATATGGAGATAGGCCAACATTAGGAAAGAAAAAAAAGAAGTTTGGAAACCTGTCATTCACTGACGTTTTTTAGGCTCTCTAGGCCATACATCCCTCATCCTTTGCACCTATCTGTCCTTACTGCACAACCTGCCTCAATCACCAAGCATGTGTACCCTTGACAGTTCCTGGAAGTAACAAAGAAACTGAATAAAGTGTGTAGCTTCAAAACCTAGTTGCTGGCCCTTAAGTAAGCATACAGGAAAGGAGCTTAGACTTTTCAGATCTCAATGGCTGCATGCTCGTTCCCGGTCAAGGACTCACATTTTAGTAAATCCAGTATCAGCAGGACAGCCCCAGACCTTAGAACTTTAAAATCAGTAAACAGTGAAAGCTCCCATACTTCTTTCAGAAAATAAACTCAAATTTGAACTTGACAATGCAACATAGCCTATTACAACCCAGACATATACCCACAAACCTCACAGTAAACCAATTATGAAAAGCAGAGATGCGTAACTATAGAAAATGGGGATGAAAGTGGAGGTTCCTTTAACCTGTTCCTAAATACAATTTCTAGAGTAAAGAAGAATGTCAGGATTTATACAACCGAGAAAAGAAACAAAGAAAATTCCTGGAGTTCTACTTCAACATATTCAGGCATTGTTCCACATACAGAAACCTTTCATCTGTATTTCATTGTTAAATTAGAAGAGTGCACCTGTGTTCAGAGACCAGCTCCTTCACTGACAGTCACTGGTCTCATACCAAGGATTGGGCACTAATCAGTATAAGATCCCTGACTATATGATCACCATGACAGCCAATCAGTGAATTCATGAAGCTTTTCATTACCTTACAAACAAGCCTGCAGACTGTTCATATGTTGCTCAGAAATGGGTATAGTGACAGTTGAAGCCGGCGTACAGCACCTATCACAGGATATTACAATGTGTAAAATAAATGAATGTTTTACACTTGTTTTATAAGGCCCCTTTCAGATGGGGTGGATCCATCAGTGTTATCTGCCTGCTCAGCGGGATGATCACTCCGCTGATCCTTGCTGAGCAGGCAGATGACAGGTCTCTGTTTGCTCTGCTGCCGATTTCAATAGGATGGTTGGAAAGAAACAGACAGCCTGTCTGTTGCCACCCGATTGTCATCTGATTCAATCCGCTGGACAGATCTCATCCCTCTGTTTTTGGCAGATCGGATGCCATTGAGTGTCAGCAAACTATTGTCCGCTGACACCTGCTAGTCCATAAAAGTCTATGTATAGACTGATCAGGTCTGCCTCGTGTGAAAGGGGCCTAAAAAACATTTTCGTGCATTTGTGAAGAGCAAGGAAGAAAAGCCAAGAAGCTACCTGAAAGTTTAGGTAAACCCCAACAATGTTAAATACAACATAGAAGCATTTTGTTACATCTGTTCAATAAGAGCTGGTTCACACATATGCGAAAGAACATTGCTTTCTATTGTGCCTGTTCACATATGTCCGGTGCAGTCGGAGTGGGCATTCAGTGCAAATCAAAAAAAAAAAAAAAAAAGTCCTGTCAGATTTCTGAGGAGTGCAGTCCAGCTCAGGTGCGAATTCAGGCCCACTGACTTATATGGGAACTCTTCTGAATCGCACAAGTCTTCCAGTTGTGAACAGGATAAAATTCTGACCTGATCCTTATGTAAACCTGACCTAAAACGCTGTGAAAACGGAGCAGATACCATGCATGAATCTACACTCAGTGTCAAAAAATACCTGTTAATCATGTCAGATATTCATAATTGCCTTGTATCCTGTGCTGATAAGGCCTACCTTTACCGATGACAAGTCCACATTTGTCTGCAGGCACAGTGTAGGTGATCTCTTGCATTCCTCCTGACGTACCAATATTCCACTCACGACTGCGCCCCCGACCTCTAGCCATCGCCAGACCACCAAAACCATCCCTTTCCTGCAGGAGACAACACAAATTCAGACTGCAGACTATAAAGAACTAATAAAGCTTTGTTACGTACGTGTTAAAATGAAAGTAAAAAATCTTTCCAATGTTTTAAAATGAACATTAAAAATAAGCTTAGTTCAAAATCTTTCCAGTGTACCTTAATATTTTCAAATGTTTGTTTCTATGAATAATATGTGCAGCCATATTTGCTCAATGCACATGTTCTACTTTCCTGGTTGAAATTTACTGCTCCTGATTACAATGCAAGTCTACAAGTTGAACTGAAAAACTAGGGATTGCCTACAGCTCAAAGAGCCCCCTGAGGAACCTTACAACCAAAACTGGCATCATGAGACTGAATTGCCTACCTGGTACAACATAGAGCAGGAATTATCAAACAATCAGGTGGCAGCGTTGCAAACTTGAGAACAGTTGTCTGATGTTGAAAAGTACACAGTGTTATCAGATTTAGGAAAGTGCCTCTTCACAGAAAGGGCAGAACCCTGAACCTGACACCATACACTGGATGATGCCCTGCCTGAGCCACTAAGAATGAGAATCCAGAGCACTCTTACCAGGTCCATGAGGGATGACACTAAGGGATACAAGTCTTAATAAAAGAAGAATTGGCTGTGAGAGAAGGTTTTTACAGTCCAAACTGCATCCAGACAATAAAGGGACATTTGCTTTTAGTGAACTTGCCACACAGAGGAACAAAAGAATGATGAGCTGCTGAACTGAAAGACAGAAGGGAGTCCTGGGCCCCAGCACCAATTTGTCCCTATGGCAAAACCAAGAAAGGGTTCCTAGCAGTATAAGGATGTAAGTTAAGATACCCTTCTTGCAGAAGTGATAGCTACAAGGTAAACAACCTTGCCAGAGAGAGGAATGTTTCTAGTAAGTTCAAAAAGGTGAGCAGAACTAACCAGATTCAGACCACAAGGAGTCACAAGGTAAGCTATATGGGAGACCCACTGCACAAAGGTCTTCATCTGAAATTGAGAGGCCAACGGACTTTTTACAAACTAGAAAGGGCAGAAACTTGACTTTTGCTGGGAGCCAAACACTGGCCCAGACCCAGTTGCAAGGAGGAGTGTATTCCACCCAAGAAGAAACTCCTTGCGTGGAAGACAGACACTCACCAAGTGAAGAACACCTTCCATGTCAGATGCTAGACCTTGCAAGAAGTAGACATGTGAGAAACATAGATCAGGATGTATTGTTCCCATGGAGGCACAACAGCATCCATTTCTCAGGCAAGAGGACACCCCTGTAACTCGATATAAACCTCTCCAGTACATTGTTCGACCTGGAGGCCCACATTTGGTGTCCCCCAAGTGTGACATAACTTTTGGAATACCTCCAGGTATAGGGATCACTCCCCAGGAGTTGCTAAGAATATTTGCCTGCCAATTGTCTATGCCTGGAATACACAAAGCTGACAAGGATGATGAATGAAGATCTGCCCAGGACAGGATCTGACCCAACTCTCTTGCTACAGTGAGACTTCAGGTTCCTCCCTGATTAATGCTTTCAACACTGTGACGTTGTCTGACTGAATCCAACTTAGATGACCCTTCAAGTAAAATGGCCCAATGCTGCAGACAGTCAAAGCGACAAGATATTAATTGGCTACCATTAGACCTAGGACCATCATTTAAAAGCCGAGGGTCAGACAGTTCCTGGACTGGAGAGTGTGAATTAGAGACCTGAGGGCCTGACATTTCTACTGTAGAAGAAACAATCTGGCCCAAACTGTGTTGGTTCAATCAACAATTTTGCAAGGTTCAGGATTATTCTGGATTTGGTAGATTAAATGCAGAATTTATTAACTCAAAGACATTCAGAGCGCCAAAATCCAAAATAGGGCAAATCCAAATTGTGCCCAAATCCAAAGTGGGAATAGATTTTCCCACCCACACAGAAACAAGTCATTAAATTACTGGGTGGTTTGAGTCAGTCTTGCATGACCATTGCAAAAAAGAAAAATAGCAAAAAGGGGGAAAACAGACTAAGCCAGCCTATACATGAATCAGATTTTTCTTGTTCAGCCACCGGGTTGAACGAAAGAAAATTACTCATTGCGATGAGGGAATCCTCCCTGCTACGCTATTGTATTTGACCAGAATACACTGATCAGCAATGCAGGCAATAGCCAGTACCGCAGATCGAATGGAAAAATTATAACAGGACCAATGTACAAAAGTTGACTTATGTACAACCACCCTTCCCATACACAGATCGAAACTTGTCTGGTCCCTGCTGAACAGGCCGAATTTTGGTCCAAGTATGGGCAGCTTAAGAGCAGAGGATAACATGATTTCAGGATGCAAATATGTTGGCCTCGCTGGAAGGCACATGCTCCCCCCATTCTGTGGCAGGAACAGGAAATAATGGCCAGTGACTTAAGAAAATGACTTAAGAAAATGAGTTAGCTCATGGTGCTTGGCCTGACTGCCTATTCAGTCTACAGAGACTGAGGTCTGGACTTGAAATGTGCTCTGCAACTAGTTTTTACCAGAACAGAGTATGGAGAGCACCACAGGCAGAACCAAGTGTGCCCAAAGGCCACTTTCAGACTATCCCCACAACTTCTAGTTCACTAGGGTGGTCTGGATGCTGTATGCCAAAAGCAAGGTGAAGGACAACTCTCCAGAAAGCTGAAGACGAAGAGACAAAAGCTGCAGCAGCAATGGAGTGAGGAAACAATAAATAAAAAGGTTCTAGAAAAATCATTGGTTAGTCTTACACACCATAGTTGACACTAGCAAAATAACTGAGGCATGCTGGTGGTGGGATGGGTAATACTGGGCTGGCTTTTAGTTTGATGGTGTCCAATCCAGAGACAAAAGACTTCCTATTTCCCTCAAAGAATGATAAAGTGTAATGTGCAACATTCTTGCAAACATATTGGATTCTACATTCACAGGAAAACAAATACGTACAAAAATAAACTGTTCAGATGCATTCTAGGTTTTTCTGGTGTTGTCTTTTGCACAAAAGGAGGAGTGTGTGGATCAGGTGCAGGTATAAAATGTCAGTACAAGTCCATAGAGTTTTAGTCTCTCACCTGTGCAGTCACAATGAGCTCATTGATGATATGCGCAGCGTGCTGACACCGGTCAGGGAGGCCCATTACTTGCGCCACTCTTTCAGGGCTGATTCCATCGTCTGCAGGAGGCAAACACAAGCAAAGCAAACCGTTTAGCCCCATGTGCTGTAAACCCAGCTGTTATGTAGTGCTGCTTCGTGTATAAAAACAGGCCAGCACATGCCACATCAACTAAACCATAGCAGCAGCGACTCTGCTTGAGAGCTGCAGATTACGCAAGATGACAGGCTTCTGGAAAAATATATCTATGTGTAAATAAAAAAAAAAAAAAAAAAAAGAAGAAAAAAAAACAAAAAACACGGCACCCAGTGGCAAACTGTCAGGTGAAGTAACACTTGGTTAAAACAAACCCAGAGAACACAACTTGAATGGTTAAAGTGGAATTGTAGCCACATAAAAACAAAAATAAACACATAAATGTGGACGGTTTTATTTGATGAAAAAATAAAGCCATTACTGGCAAGAACATGCATAATATATATATATATATATATATATATATATATATATATATATATATATATATACATATACATATACATATATATACACACATATATATATATATATATATATATATATATATATATATATATATATATATATATACACACACATACATATATATATACACATACATATATATAAAAATATATATATATAAATATATATATAAGTAAATATATATAAATAATATATATATAAATAATATATATATATAAATAAATATATATATAAATAAAATATTTTTTTCTATTTTTTGTTTGCTGTTTTCTAAAAGTAAATCTGTTGCAAACCTGGGCAACTATACAGCAAGAAAAGAAAGAAAAAAAAACAAAACAAATAAACATAAACACAGCAGTGGAGTGTATGTGAAAATAGTATTCCTGGGACATGACCAGCTGAATTTTTGACATTTAAAGTGGAGGAAAACCCTACAGGTATAATAATTTTCTGATGTTTATACTGATGCTTATATTGATCTTGTTGAGTAAAATGTTTTGTAAAAACCTTGCGTATACATGCATATAGGCGTGTAAACCTGTATAAACACATACATAAATAAAATTCTTCTTCAGTAAGTGAAAGGAAATCTCGCCAAAGTGAGGGCACATCGTATCAAACATATGTCAGTGCCACTGGTGCCTATTTTGGAAAGTTTCCTTTCACATTCAGTGGCTACACAGCAAACCCAAAACTAACAAAGACGCTAGTCGGTTGGAGCCAGTGTTTTACCGGAACTATTAGTCTGCTACTTTATTATAAATTGTCTTCATGCTACGAGCAAGTTAACATTACTGGATTTAATGGAAAGCCTCTTTTGCATTTATTTTATTTTGTGGAGTAACTATAATCACTTGAAACATGGTGGACTCTATCAAACTCAGGGATTGTGAAATGACTTTGTATAATTTATATATATGGTTGTATGTTTTGTAATTAATAAGCGCTGCTTTTATTGTTTTGTATTTTATATAAAACATTGGCTGCCTTTATGTCTGGGTCTACATATAATTAATGGCATGTGGCATTCAATAAAGTTAATCTCTGCTTGTGGATTTTATGAATCAGTTTTGATATTTCAGGTTTGACAAGTTTACATTAACCTCGATGCTAAAGTGATGTATCCCAGCCACAGCACCTCCTGCCTGGAGTTTGCATGTTCTCCCGCGTGGGTTTCCTCCAGGTACTCCGGTTTCCTCCCACACTCCAAAGACATGCTGGTAGGTCAATTGGATCCTGTCTAAATTGGCCCTTGTATATGAATGTGAGTTAAGGACCTTAGATTGTACGCCCCTTGAGGGTTAGGGACTGATGTGAATGTACAATATATATGTAAAAGCACTGCGTAATTTGACGGCGCTATATAAAGTACCTGTAATAAATAATAAATATTGCACTGTATTTTTTTGGGAATTTCCGTAGACTGAACAAATGCAGGAATATTCAAAATGCCCGGCTACAAACAATGAAGACATGGGACTCTCTCAGACATCTGTTCAGTTCCACACAGAGCCAAGTACCACATACAAGATATTAGATCATACTGCACAAACCTGGTTTGAACTGAATTCTTACGCCGGCATCATTCTGAATTTTTTTGATCATTTCCCCATTTCTTCCTATTACGATTCCCACGGCAAACCTAGGTACAGACACCTGGGCATAGTGAAAAATGGGAAAGAGTGAGACAAAGCAGCAACCAGCCTTCACAAAGCATTCCAATTTGAAGGTTACTGTCAAACAGCAAACACAATGGATTTTATGCACCTAACTGAAACAATTTTAAATTGGATGTAAACCCCTACTGGAAGACATTCAGTTTGCTAAAGCACTGTGTATCCCAAACAATCACCACGTTTCTTATTGTTTTCGTATTGTTTCCATCTTTTTTTTTTCTTTATAAGCCTCTCTCTGTAACTCAGTACTGCTGATCTCCTCCTTCAGTAAGTCAGTTTCTGTCTACATGCACTTTCTACAGAGGTAGCTGTACATCATCGCTTTGGACTGGTTTCCTGATCTAAACAGTGTATCACGCCTGTGTATTGTGTACTGATATGACCAACTGATGTCTCTGCCAGAGGCACATATAAAAGGGTAACAAATGCAGCACAATCACAGAATACAGCCTTGCAAAATGCTAATATTTTTGTCCAATTCCACGCGTTTGCTTTTTTTATATAGCATTTTGATTATTTTAACAAAAGCATCCTTTTCTCTGAACTCATTAATAGTTCCTTCACATGTGCATCAATTCCCTGTGTTTAAGTGGCATTTATGCTGCATTTTTTAAAGCCTCATAACCACCATTCAATGCCTGCCATGAATATTACAGCGAGCACCGCACAGGAGCAGTAGTGTTGTGTTGTAGTAAGAACTAAGCAGCATGTTGCTTTCATAAGGCATCAACGTTTTTAAGCCGCCTCCGTTGATTTCAATGGTAATTATCTGTCACCGCTGTGACGGGAGTCACTTTGGGTGGAGAGCTCTTGGAACCCAGCTTACTTTGCAGAGGTTGGGAGACCCCTGTCTCAGCTCCCCATATCCCTCTTATGTGCAAGTCACCCTGTGTCTCTTAGGGGGACAGGGTGACTAATGGAACTGCTGAGAAGCGGTTGGAATTACTTCAGATGGGACAGTAATATTTATCAGCCATATGAAGACTATTCCTGGTTGTTGATTCTGAACTAGACATGTGAATTGAAAGAGCTGATCACGCTGGTCTCTCTACTCCAGTGTAGGAGCCGGACTATCTGCTCTGTAGCTACATCCTAATTCATCAAACCATTGTCTAGGTGTGAATTCCCATTAACCTTTTGTTTTGGTCATCCAGCTTGCTGACCTAATTAACTTACTGTTTAGAGTGTTAAGTCTATTTCTGTATATAGCTGCGTTTGCATATGATCATGTGATCAGTGTCAGTGTGTATTGTATAAAAAGCCAGTTTGAGTTTAAAATAAAAAGTTCCATGTTCAGACAGACTGATGTCGTCTAGTCTTGTATGGTCAGCTGTGGTGTCTGTTGTTGGTGTTCGGACGGGGGGAAGCGGTATTTTAACGAAAGTACTCAAGCGCCGTCTGGGTTGGTTCCATTACAACTGCAGCCTAACGGCACCTATAGCATTTATGGTGTGCTACCGAAGCATTTACAATGTGTTAGCTGGGTATTGGAGGATAGACAGCGGAGGTTCCTGTATCCCAGAATGCAGTGAGATAATAGAGAAGGCACAGCAGCCACTTCCTTTTTGTACAGAGCAGCCGTGTGATAACACCATTTTGCTTCTATGTGCGGGAAAAAGCATCAATCAGTCTGAAATACTGACAGTGCCAGGGAGGAGAAGAGGCATTGAACATTATTGCCAGTGGCAAAGCTTTTTGTTTCTGGAAAGTTGAGGTGGACCCAGCCAAGTGTCAAAGAGATCAAAGTTTAAGAAATCATCTAGCAGAGATTTCACCAAAATGTCTTCTATCACACCACCACAACCTACCAACGCCTCAAACATCATATCCTATACATCATATCCCACTAAGAGTTCAACAAGTTCATTGGCATTCATCAACACACCAAAAAAACACATCAAATACTATAGGCACGTTATTGAGCGTTGCTTTGTTCTTCAGAATCAACACATGTGTGAACAAGCTGTAAGGGACACAGGTTAAAAGCGAATTCCAAGATAACTGGGATAAACTGCTGCATACAGAAGAACTGGACACTAGCAAATGTAAAACAGTCAGAAAGGTATAACTCTCCACTCCCATCATGCTTCAGTTTCTTTCGTAATATTTTTAATGAATTAAAAGATATACATACATCTGTATATATATGTGTGTGTATATATATATATATATATATATATATATATATATATATATATATAAATAACAGTGGACACCAAGGCAAGCGAAAGAAAGTAGTTTCAAACTAGAAGCGTACATACCAAATACAAATAAGCCTCTTATATGTTACAATTACAATGGATAAAAGAGACAAAAAGGGAAACCAGGTGAGGGTGCCTTGATACCAACACGATCCGTTTGGAAAGCAATAAGTGCAATGCTCAACGATCAAGACGACAGAGAGTGAGCTACACAGACAAATATCTCAGAGATTTAACATGGTATGGTATACTAAGTAGCACCTGAGATTGACCTGTATTCATATATAAGAATAAAGAGGGAGAAAAAGGGCCCAAAAGGCCTACTCAGGCACAAAAAAAATTAAAATAAAAGGCTATCCCATAGGCCAACAAATGGGTGAGAGGGTGATGTCCCAACCCTGGAAACACAAAGCATTGCAGCCACAAAATTACACCAGAAGTAGAACCAGAGGGCAATAAACAGGCCCTACTGGTGATGGATAACAAGAAAAACAGGAAAAAGAAAGAAACAAGATAAGAATGAGAAGAAAAAGAGAAGAGAAGAGAAACAAAAGAGAAGAGGCCACAAAAGAGAAAAGTAAGCCCCACCCCTGGGAAGTCAAGGCCATCACAGGTAGATTAGACAAAAATTTTACAGGTCCAAAAAGCAGAAAGGCGGGCTCATCACTGGAAACTGACCAAACCAGGGTTGCCAAAGAAATTTATCCCAAGTGTTTGCAAGTATCGCTGTGAGCTTTACGCTCACCAAAGTCCCATGCACCTGTCGCTTCATCTCCTCAAAGGAGGGGAGAAGTGTTTTCCACGCCTTCACAATGGTTTGTTTAGTGGCCATAAAAAATGTGCATTGCCAGTGCGCGTTCTCATTTTGGTAGTTCTAATATATGCTTATGAAGTACGGCTCCCACAGATCCTTGCGTATATTAGAATGAAAGAGCGCATTGACCAATGTGTACACTTGAATCCACACCCGCTTAATTTTGCAGCATGTCCACCATATGTGCTTCATATTGCCAAGATCTGAACACTCCTGAATTCTCCGGTGCCAGAACGTTACACAAAGAGCGAAAAAGGGCCTCCCACATTTTGGGCCAATCCTTGGGGGACCGATTGGCCCCATCATGCTTCAGTTTCATGCAAAAGTAGTAGTAATAATAAGAATATAACAGAGGGGTAGGAACCGTGTCTCTTAAGCTGGCCATACATAGGTCAGTATTTTTCGATCAGTCATTGGGCTGACCAAAAAAAAAAAAAAAAAAATAAACAGATTCCCCAAGGCCAGCTTTAACCTCCCTAGCGGTCTGATTATGTTTATATTTCAGTGCTCAAAGCGGTACCTTTTTTTGCACGGAAATATGTATTTTTTTTTTTATTGTAGGCTGTAATTTTTAGGAATAACTCACTGAAATCTGTCCGAATAAGAGTCTAGTAAACATCCTAGCCCTGTATGTTAACATTTAAAACACAATCATAAATTATAATCTAATAATCATAAAAAATAATATAATAATAAATTTAATTCAATAATATAATCAAACCAAAAAGACTGAAATTTGAAATATAGCTCCAAGTTCGCACATCACTGAGCAAATTTGCAAAATCGTTTTCAGTGTCTGATGACGAATTTCCTCACGAATCATTATCACTCAATTCTGCAAGTGGTTCTGATTTACTATCGCTGTTCTCTATCCGGTCTAAAACAGATTTTGACCTAAAGGGACGCTTTCTGGACGCCATGGACATTTCTCGGTTTCCAGGCAGAAATAACAGTAAAAATGTAGGCAGGGCGCCGGACAAAGCACTCGGGACAAAATGTATGTGAAATGGTTTGATACAGTAATGTTTTACTATGTGATTTTAGTGAATGTCACTTTTTGTCATTTTCAAATTTCCCGCCGTTCTGTCCCCGTACGTCCGACGTCGCAGGGGACGGAACCCAGAAGACAGATGCCGGCATCCGCCGGAGGACAATACAGGGGACACTGCAGGAGGGACATCGCGGGAGCGCAGTACAAGGTAAGAGAAGAACAGATCCCGGAGCAACGCCGCATGGTAAGCCCGAGTGTAGCTTGGGGTTACAGCTTGTGGTACTGAAACTTTACCCCGAGCTACACTCGGGAATACCGCCAGGGAGGCTACTGAACATCAAGAGAAGGATTTTTTGGCAAGATTTCTGTTATCTTAATTGTTTATCAAGGTACACAGGGTCAGAAGGAAGTCTGAGATAATGGGATGTCCAAAAGTAGTGAAACTTAGAGGTAAGCACCACAACAAAGTGTTAAGAAGCCAGGAAAACAACATAGTGAAAAATGGGGCTGCTTTCAGCTCAAATAGATGCTTAAAAGAACCCTATGTGAACAGAAGTACAGGTGGCAGCCTTGTGCGTGATAATGAAAAGCACAAGAAGAATTTTCTGATCTAGTGCAAAGTGCCTTGACAGGACATGGTGGACCTTTTTGCCTCAAGCCTATAGGTTTGAATGATGAGCTGCCCCAAAAAAGGTGGAATGAGTGGCAGGCTGCCCCTCATGGAGATCCCCAAGTATGACAAGGAATCATTCAGCCTGGAAGATGATGTGGCCAAGATATAAACCCAAACAGCTCGTGCTACATTCATACTATGGAGGAAGTAGGACAGAAAAATGGAAGAATAATGCAGTGCCCTGGTTAAAGTGAATGGAAACCACCACCTTGAAGGAAAGACACTCTAGGCTTAGGATTTAACATGTCCTCAAATCAGTCACAGAGTAGAACTGTGGCTCTGATAGAACTGAGGTAACAGCAGGAGGGGCTTAAATGAATATGGTTAAATAAAATGTAAGCCTATTCTGCTCTGGACCAAAAGTAACGCACCGGTTACATGCCAAACTCATACACTGCATTGTTATTTACTATATTATAAGCCTTTCTTACTGCACAGTAGAATTCAGTAAAAAAAAAAATATATGGTGAAATAAGCTGGACACTTTAGAACACAGATGTACAGATTAATAAATACCTCTCAAGACTTCCAGGTCTCCAGGTTCCTGCTTGTGTGACAAGGGGACAGACCAGAGAGACTGGATCAACTATGGACCCACCAAGCCATTTAACAACAAGGGAAGAACATGTGAGCGGCTTCTCTTCTGTGTTTAGTGTGTGCAGCAGCAATTACAGTCTCACTTGGCAACAGGCACTTTTCCAGGTGAATGAGACATATAACTGGTGCATGCCTCCAAGATTTGGCTAATGGATATAAACAACGGGGGTGTTAACCGGAAAAAAAATTGCATGTGTAGTAACAGCAGTATTGCCATATCCCAGACCCCAATAATGCACCTTACTAGCACTATTGAGATGATGTGTGGTTGATGAAATGTAGTGGTTACCACCAAGAATTGGAATACCTGCATAACTAATGTGTCTATATTACCCATAGTAGGGTCGTGTCTGCTTATGGAAAAAGAAACAGAAAGCATTGAGTCACAAATACAGAAAGATCATCAAAACCCTGGTGGGTTTACTCAAACTGTGAAAGCAGCAACTCACCAAGGAAAAATTCAGTAACCCATAGCAGCCAATCAGAATTTACTTTATTAAATTCAGCCTAGCACAAATTAGATATTGCTACCTATATTTAGTACATTTTGCACTTAGTGCTTCACTTCTTTAATAAGCTATGCTCAAAACACTTCATTTACAGTGGCAGTATAAAGTATGTGACACAGCTGAATTACCTGATTTTTTTGCAGTAATTTGCCATTAAATGTGTTACTCAAGGGTTCTTTTTTACCTCATTGAGGTATCTGCATTGTGCCTTGAGAGTCATCTTGGCTGGGTGCCCACTTCTAGGAAGAGTAGCCACAATACCAAACAGTCTCCATTTATAGACAATTTTGTCTGTCAACTGAAGGATAACTAAAACACTTTGCGATTGCTTTCCAGCCTTAAGCAGATCAACTACACTCGATCGCATGTCTTCAGAGAGCTCCATTTTGTGAGGCATGGATCACTCACAAAACGTCTCCATTCTTCCCTGGTAGCCTCTTCTCATAGCAGGACTTTTCCTGCATCTCCATTCCACATCAGGAATTCATTAACCTCCATTCCAACAGACATATCTTACAACTACTTCTGTACTCCTACAGCACAAGTACTACTGTCAAATTCTCCAATGTCTAGAAGTCTACATAAAAAGACTGCAAAACTAGAATTGGAAAGATTCCTTTAATAAAAGTAACTATGTCCAAAAAAACCACCAAAATAAAAAGGAATCAATAAGCCCAAAACTTCCAATTTAATGTCTGGTAGATGATGGAAGTGATCTTAATTATGTAGTTACATAAAACTCCTGGATGAAGTCTAATATCAGAATTTGCAAAGTGACAAGAAAAAGCTGAAAAGTAGCAATGAATATAAAGTAAAAGAAATGTATTAGCATTTCTACTCACCTCTATGCTGCCACCTCCCATCCTGCTACTGAAGTCATTGCGTAACCCTCTGAAATCAGCCTGGTCCTTTTCTCTGATGATCTCTAGTACCAACTCTCTTGCTTGCTAAAAAATAAAGTCAGTAACTTACATTTAAAAATGAAAGAGGTTCAGTGTGGCACTAGTAATTTTATATCTGGTAGAAAATGGAGGGCTAAGTCACCCGATGGTTTTCTGTATCTCTCAGGGATGCTATTGGTGAGATCTCTGCGCTGAGTTTCTGGCTCTGTTCACCTGCTATGGCCATTAGGGCCTATATTGATGGGCTTTGGGTCTGTGTTGAGCGCATTTATTGACATCAGTTTGTGACTGCTCTGAGATCATTCAGAATTCATTACCAAGTGTAAATGATCTCCTTCTGACCTACAAGCAGGTTCTGCATTCCCGTAGACTTGTATGGGAAAACAAAACCCACTTGATGAGGACAAAAGCCTATCAACAGTTCCTTATCAGCACTCTCTCACACTGTTACAGTAGCGAGCAATGAACATATGCAATGCCACCGTTTATTTTGAACGGCACCCCAACACACATCCAGAATGCAGATGTGTTACAGTGTACTGCACTGCCAAAAAATGCAGCAAGACCTATTTCTTTATGTGTCAAGTTACATTAAAAACCATTCCTTTTGAAAAGGCTGCCTAACACCATGCACTAAAATGCATGAAAACGCATGCGCTGTAATGCCATGCATTCTGGTGTGAATGTGTCCTTAGGGGTTTCCCACTCTCCCCTTGTATCTTTTATTTAGTTTATATTAAAACACAACCAAAGAAGCTGGAACACACAGAAATGACTGGGAATGCTCAAAAGTTCCAGAGACAAGAACAGTAATTAATTAGAGCAGGGAAATTTCACTGTTTGAGCCCCCAAGACATAGAAAAAAAAAACAGTTATCAGGGGCAAACTTAGCTAGGCTCTACCTATAACCAAATCTTCACTTTCGGGCCTTATTTAAACAGTTTATTATACCAGAACATGTCCTTTAAAAAAAAAAAAAAGAAAACAAAACACAAATGCAAAGCAAAAAAGCTTTGATGATTGATAAGCAGCGGGACAGTGAAGGCTTATATGTAGAGGGCTATTTATGAAATGATTATGTATGTTGGAACATCTATGAAACATTACCTTGATGTTACATGCAAAGTACATGCATTGCTGCGTTACTTAAAACATATGAAGCATTCGTGTTACATAGTTAGAAATAAGACACTAGTAAAACTAGCTCAACCAATAAACAAAAAAAAAAAAAAACAAACAAAACAAAAAATAAATTAAAAAAAAAACAAAAACACACCACATACACACACAGAAAACCTCCATATACACTATTCTATACCCACAGTTGATCCAGATAGACAAAAAAAAAAACAAAAACACCACATGGTTGAATTAGCTCCAGTGGGGGGAAAAAAAATCCATTCTGATCCCTCTGAAGGCAATCTGATATTCCCTGGAGCAACTCTTCCTGGTGTTATTACCTATAAATCAGTATACAATTATATTTTGTGGATTTAGAAATGCTCTTTTATAAAAGCAATCTACTGAGCTGGCCAGAACTATTTCTTGAGGGAGTCTATTCCACAGTTTCACAGCACTTACTGTGAAGAAGCCTTTCCCTACGCGGAGGCCTCTTCCTCCAAATGTAAACCATGCCCCCTTGTTCTCTGTAATGAACTGAAAGTGGAGCACTCTAAACCAAGTTCATTGTATGGGCCTCTTACAGTATATATTTATACAAAGTGATCATACCCCATTATATGCCACTTTTCAAGAGAGAATAAATTCATTTCCTCTGATCTTTCCTCATAACTGAGCTCCTAAATGCCTCTTGTCAATTTGGTTGCCCTTCTCTGCACTTTCTCTAGGTCCCAGGACTTGGAGGACCTTTGGATATAAGCCAGGTACTTTAATTACCTTTACTTTGTCTTAATGTTTCTGAGCTATGTCAATTTTGAGTCATCGTGAATCATTTGGTGCGATGTTACTGCAATCTCCATTAAGGGCTCAAGCGCCATGTATACACAGAGCTGAAGAAGGAATTTAATAAATTTGCCTTCTCTATGTCCCTAGTAATCAACTCAAAATGATTTCGTAAAGAGCCTACATGCTCAGACCTGACCTTTTTACTGTTAATATATTTTAACCTGTCATTCGTTTAGAATTTTTGCTGCCTCGATTACCTTTTGACATTTTCTATTATGTGCTTTGTAACTTTCAAATCAAGAGTGTTCCTAAGGCCCTTGCATACACTTAATAGTGGCTCACGATCAAAAAGAAAGGCCTATGGAAACACATGCTTCTCATATTTTCCTCAATAGCATCTCTGATGCAGACATGCATCAGCATTCATGCAAGTTAAGGTATGTGCCCTTATATAGCGCATGTGCAAACCATTTTACCTAAATTCTAACTCCTCCCCAAAACACACACACACACTATATACATACAATATATACATATATATATATATATATATATATATATATATATAATATATATATATATATATATATATATATATATATACACATACACATATACACACACACACACACACACACACGCACTCATATACATACACACACACATACATACGCACACACAGTGCATCCAGAAAGTATTCACAATGCTTAACTTTTGCCACATTTTATGTTACAGCCTTATTCCAAAATGGATTACATTCATTTTTTTCTTCAACATTCTATAAACAATACCCCATAATGGCAACGTAAAATAATTTCATTTTGAAATCTGTGCAATTTATTAAAAAACAAAAAAAACATGTACATAATAAGTATTTACAGCCTTTGCCATGACACTCAAAATTGAGCTCTGGTGCATCCTGTTCCCACAACTTGATTGGAGTCCACCTGTGGGAAATTCAGTTGATTGGACATGATTAGGAAAGGCATAAACCTGTCTATATAAGGTCCCACAGTTAACAGTGCATGTCAGAGCACAAACCAAGCCATGAAGTCCAAGGAATTGTCCACAGACCTCTGAGACAGGATTGTATCAAGGCATAGATCTGGGGAGGGTACAGAAAAATTTCTGCAGCATTCAAGGTCCCAATGAGCACAGTGGCCTCCATCATCCGTAAATGGAAGAAGTTTGGAACACCAGGAATCTACCTAGAGCGGGCTACCTGGCCAAAATGAGCGATCGAGGGCGAAGAGCCTTAGCCAGGTAGGTAACCAAGCATCCGATGGTCACTCTGTAAGAGCTTCAGAATTTCTCTGTGGAGAGAGAAGAACCTTCCAGAAGAACAACCATCTCTGCAGCACTCCACCAATCAGGCCTGTATGGTAGAGTGACCAGATGGAAGCCACTCCTCAGTAAAAGGCAAATGGCAGCCTGGAGTTTACCAAAAAGGCACCTGAGAGACTCTCAGACCATGAGAATCAAAATTCTCTGGTGAGATGAAACAAAGATTGAACTCTTTGGCCTGAATGCTAAGTGTTATGTCTGGAGGAAACCAGGCACCACTCACCACCTGGTCAATACCATCCCTACAGTGAAGCATGGTGGTGGCAGCATGCTGTGGGGATGTTTTTCAGCGGCAGGAACTGGGAGACTAGTCAGGATCGAACGAAAGATGAATGCAGCAATGTACAGAGACATCCTTGATGAAAACCTGTTTCAGAGCGCTTTGGACCTTAGACTGGGGTGACGGTTCATCTTTCAACAGGACAACGACCCTAAGCACACAGCCCACATAACAAAGGAGTGGCTACGGGCCAACTCTGTGAATGTCCTGGAGTGGCCTAGACACTTGAACCCGTTTGAACATCTCTGAAGAGATCTGAAAATGGCTGTGCACCGACGCTTCCCATCCAACCTGATAGAGCTTGAGAGGTACTGCAAAGAAGAATGGGAGAAATTTCCCAAAAATAGGTGTGCCAAGCTTGCAGCATCATACTCAAAATGACCTGTGGCTGTACTTGGTGCTAAAGGTGCTTCAACAAAGTATTGAGCAAAGGTGGTGAATACTTAGTCAGGCCATAAATATTGGGACATTGACACAATTCTAACATTTTTGGCTCTATACACCGCCACAATGGATTTGAAATGAAACAAACAAGATGTGCTTTAACTGCAGACTGTCAGCTTTAATTTGAGGGTATTTACATCCAAATCAGGTGAACGGTGTAGGAATTACAACAGTTTGCATATGTGCCTCCTACTTGTTAAGGGACCAAAAGTAATGGGACAATTGGCATCTCAGCTGTTCCATGGCCAGGTGTGTGTTATTCCCTCATTATCCCAATTACAATGAGCAGATAAAAGGTCCAGAGTTAATTTCAAGTGTGCTATTTGCATTTGGAATCTGTTGCTGTCAACTCTCAAGATGAGATCCAAAGAGCTGTCACTATCAGTGAAGCAAGCCATCATTAGGCTGAAAAAACAAAACAAACCCATCAGAGAGATGGGAAAAACATTAGGCGTGGCCAAAACAACTGTTTGGCACATTCTTAAAAAGAAGGAACGCACCAGTGAGCTCAGCAACACCAAAAGACCTGGAAGACCACGGAAAACAACTGTGGTGGATGACCGAAGAATTCTTTCCCTGGTGAAGAAAACACCCTTCACAACAGTTGGCCAGATCAAGAACACTCTCCAGGAGGTAGGTCTATGCGTGTCAAAGTCAACAATCAAGAGAAGACTTCACCAGACTGAATACAGAGGGTTCACCACAAGATGGAAACCATTGGTGAGCCTCAAAAACAGGAAGGCCAGATTAGAGTTTGCCAAACGACATCTAAAAAAGCCTTCACAGTTCTGGAACAACATCCTATGGACAGATGAGACCGAGATCAACTTGTACCAGAGTGATGGGAAGAGAAGAGTATGGAGAAGGAAAGGAGCTGCTCATGATCCTAAGCATACCACCTCATCAGTGAAGCATGGTGGTGGTAGTGTCATGGCGTGGGCATGTATGGCTGCCAATGGAACTGCTTCTCTTGTATTTATTGATGATGTGACTGCTGACAAAAGCAGCAGGATGAATTCTGAAGTGTTTCGGGCAATATTATCTGCTCATATTCAGCCAAATGCTTCACAACTCATTGGACGCCGCTTCACAGTGCAGATGGACAATGACCCAAAGCATACTGCAAAAGCAACCAAAGAGTTTTTTAAGGGAAAGAAGTGGAACGTTATGCAATGGCCAAGTCAATCACCTGACCTGAATCCGATTGAGCATGCATTTCACTTGCTGAAGACAAAACTGAAGGGAAAATGCCCCAAGAACAAGCAGGAACTGAAGACAGTTGCAGTAAAGGCCTGGCAGAGCATCACCAGGGATGAAACCCAGCGTCTGGTGATGTCTATGCGTTCCAGACTTCAGGCTGTAATTGACTGCAAAGGATTTGTAACCAAGTATTAAAAAGTGAAAGTTTGATTTATGATTATTATTCTGTCCCATTACTTTTGGTCCCTTAACAAGTGGGAGGCAAATATACAAACTGTTGTAATTCCTACACCGTTCACCTAATTTGGATGTAATACCCTCAAATTAAAGCTGACAGTCTGCAGTTAAAGCACATCTTGTTCGTTTCATTTCAAATCCGTTGTGGTGGTGTATAGAGCCACAAATGTTAGAATTGTGTCGATGTCCCAATTTATTAACCTGACTGTATGTACACGTGGGTTTTTTAGTTTAATTTTAATAAATTGCACAGATTTCAAAACTAACTTCTTTCACATTGTCATTATGGGATATGGTTTGTAGAATGTGGAGGAAAAAAATTAATTTAATCCATTTTGGAATAAGGCTGTAACATAACAAAATGTGGTAAAAGTTCAGCGCTGTGAATACTTTCTGGATGCCCTGTGTTTGTGTATGTAAGTGTAAGTGGGGGCTGGACGACTACATTTCTGATTGATTATATAGCTCTGTGAGGTCGTTAAAGAATTTTACCTCACTTCCTGACTCAGTAGCAATCGCCTAACTCCGTTTTTCATCCAGCTATCAGAGGGAAAAAGACACAGTACACTCATGATAAAGGTTCTAATCCTCCCCTCAATTCTCCATTTCCTTTACCACTGGAGAACTTTCCCATCACTTCCTGTCCTAATGTAGACAGGTAATCGAAAAAAAAAATAAAAAGGATTTTGAGGTGGAATTGGGCTTTAATTCCACATTCACTACAGCGGTTTTCTGGTCATAAAACAGTAGGTAATAAGGGGTACTATATTGAAAGTATTTTTTTAACTCAAAAAGCAATGTGTGGATACATTTAATGACTTTTAACCTATAGAAAAAAAAAGGAATTTACAGCTTGTTTTCATCATCAAATCTTAAAATTATACTAAAGGCTTAGATTTAAAAAAAACAAAAACAAAAAAACACAACATGTATATACTTTCTTGCTGTGTGCAGTGGTTTTGCAAAGAGCAGCCTGGATCCTCCTCTTCTCAGGTTCTCCGCCGGCACTCCTGGCCCCTCCCTCCTGTCAGGTGCCCCACAGCAAGCAGCTTGCTATGGAGGCATCCGACCAGGTGCGTTCCCAAGCCGCTGCTCCATGTGTCCATTCACACATGGAGCAGCGGCTCAGCCTCGTCCCCCTCTCCTCATTGGCTCACTGGCTGTGATTGACAGCAGCAGGAGCCAATGAGGAGAGGAAGTCCTGGGAGAGCGGAGACTCCAGTGTACATCACTGGATCGAGAGGGGGCTTAGATCATTATTAGGGGGGCTGAGGGGGATGCTGCACAGAAAAGGTTTTTTACCTTCATGCATAGAATGTGCATTTATTATTTTTTGTTTCTGGAGGCTCTAAAACATTGCACCAGCGATCAGTAGACTGCTGGTGCCATGCAGGACACCCTCTGACCTGTCACTGTATCTGTTTGTTCATATATCCTATACAGGCAAGCAAATATCTACTGACAGGAAGGCTCAATTTACTACCACAGTGCTCCACAGCGCCTTGGTAGTCTATTGACAACTACATGCCAAAAGCCGCAAAGGCTGTAGGAACTTACACTGTTCGCATTCACAGAACATTGTGAATGGGTGATGCAGCTGGATGGGCTGAGCCCCGTGCGGCCATTTTTTTTTAATTGGGAAACTAGTGGGGAGGAGAAGGTCCCCTGCTAGCTATCCCAACGGGGATCAAGGAGGTGCAGGGGCCACTCCGATCTCAACCTGTTACACCTTGAATATGGGTGTATCGTGTAACATGTTACTAAAGGTGAACTTATCCTTTAAAAACATGTTACTACTATATCAAGCTGCCATGTTGGCAGCAGCACAATGGATATCCAGAATTCTGCTCTCACAAGAAATTCAATGGTTTGGATTGACAGCTCTTCCCCAACCTTTAAAGGGCCCACTCACACTAGAATGCAGTGGGGAAACCCACATTCCATGCGGGTTTCCCACACCGCATTCACAATGCATTGATCTGAAGCAAGGTGTCAGTGCAATGCTAACGACACCCCAAATGCAAGTTGCAAATGCAGTGCATTTGCCTGTACTGGATCAGCGAGTTTACAAAACTAGTGCATGCACTACTTTTGGTGTGGTGCGATTTCAGCCAATTCAAAATTAATAGACTGAAATCGCACAGAATTGCATGTGCAATTCCTAGTGTGAATGGGCCCTAAAATGTGCACAAGAAACAAAGCCCACTAACCCAAGCCTTAGTGTCATCCCACCTGCCAGGTTTGCTCTTGCAAGTAAATCCAATGCCTACTCCACATGTAAAAGTAGGCAGTGCCCCCATTCACTTTGTGTGCTGCTGCATCTGCGATCAATGTTCATATTTGCCAGCACACCAGGGATCATCAATGTTGTCTTTAATGCTATTTTGATAGAATGATAACATCACAAAGAAAAGGTGCAATATTTCGGAGCCACGCAGGGCCCCTTCATCATCCCATGCCCGACGAAGGGGCCCTGCGCAACTGAAACGTTGCACCTTTTCTTTGTTTTCTGATCATTCTGCAATAAAAATAGCTTTTTGGACAACATTGGTGATCCATGGAGTATACAACTATGAACATTGATCTTTAATGGTTCCGGTTTCTAGCTGGATGTTGCTGCAGAACTGCTGCTTTTGAGCTGAACATGTGAAATGGGAATATTGCCATAATCGGCTGCATCTGAGGTCACACCATCGTGTCATCATTGCGCACAGCATCTTCTGCTCTGACTCAAAGTTACAACATTCACCATCCATACTGCTCTGACCCCCTTGAGCCTTTTCCTTTGTGTCCACATTCTGGCTTGCTCTAATGATACTTGTGCAACGCTTTCTGTAAGGTGCTGCAATCCATCCCACCATGGGAATCCTCAGAGATGTAAGTGCTCAGATCTTAGACTTCGTAACCTCTAAGGGAAGATTCTTCCTTTCCTTCTCCCATACCGCAGTTGGAAAATAAAAGGGAGAATATACAATATATCGGCTGCTTTTAGGGAGACGACACAAGTTTTGAGTTCAGGAACTTTTTAATTTTTGTCTATACATTAGGTTTCCTGTAATCTCCCATAAAGTATCAGACAGAAGAGGAAGGGACAGCACTAGAGGCCAGTCAGTTCCACTACAGTTGCAAAGAAAAAAAAAACAAAAAGACAGCCATCTGAAATCAGGAGTTGCTGTTTAATGGTATCGGAAAACGTGATGTCACTGACTTGGCTATGCTGCTTGGCAAGGCTGCCTGGATCACTGTCTGAACAGAATTACAATTTTTTTTCTTATTGCAGGTAAGACCATACACAAATATAAAGTTGCTTATCTAGAGTTCAGCTTTCAGTAATTAAAGCTCTTCTATTGGTCAGGCTCACAAAGCTCACACACCTGCACTTTGAAAGGGTCTCCTGTGATCCGAAGGGGTTTGTCTGCACCTGTTGGTAATGGGCCATCTTGGATCATGATCATTTTAACACCAGTCCTCTCCTGCAACATGAGAGCAAGTGTCATGAAATGAGATGTTTAAGAAGTGACAGACAGACAGCCATCAGACAGACAAATGTCACCTAGGTAATGGTCACCATACAGCTTAATCAAAAAAATCTACGAAGGCTCCATGAAGCCAACACTTTAAAATGAACCTAATCTCTAATGGCACAAAGCTATGTTAACAGTACATATAGAGACTAATTAAAAAAAAAAAAAAAAAAAAAAAAAAGATGAAGTACTCCACTTTCATGACCTGCTTCAGGTTTTCAAAACCATTAAAAAAAACCTGAGACATTTGACCATGTGATCTGCGCTTAACTGGATCAGCCAGTCTTTGACCATGTGACCAAACGCCTAGGCCTTTTGTTTTTAATGGAAGAAGTACTGTAGAGAGCCTGGAGTAGAATTTTTACCAGGAAAAGTATTTCACTTTTCTAATACTTTGTATAAATAATAGCAAGACATAACCTAATCCTATTTAAAGTAAGCATGCTTTGCCTATGAAGGGCAATGCAACAAGTTCACTAACACCATCTTCACCAGCTACACACACTCACCTTTCCTTTGCTCCCCCTGCACTTCATTCATCCCTTAAAGCGGAGGACACTACCCATTCCCATGGGACAGCGTTGGGCCAAGTACCAGTACTGTCACGTGTGGGAGGAGATATAACCAGGGGCATCTAAAGGCCCAGAAAAAATGTTACTCATAACAGATTAACAAAGTATTGGGGGACTAAAGGAGAATGTAAATTGCCTGACTGGTAGGGGGCCATTAAAGTAAACCTATTGATGTGCCCCGTAGGCTACAGCTGACTATTCCTAATCCACAAATGAGAGTAAATCCCCATTCTAAGCAGCTGTCCTCATTGGAATCCCCACTGGAAGATTTCTTCTCCATCCCTGCTTTGGTGACACAAGATTTTATATTTCCCTTCCCATACAAAACTGGCCAGGGGTTCTAAACCTTCCCTACAACTTTTTTTTTTAAAAAAGCTTACACTATAGAAACACTAAAGCTTCAACCAAATACAGTTTATACTTAATCCTAAGGCTTCATTTACACAGGTGCACTGATCTGTACACCCATGCGAAGGGGCTATATTCACTCACATGGGATGCGTCAGTGTTCTGTACAAACCTGTGCAGGCAGTCAAATCAATGACAGGCCGTCAGCTGCATGGACCTGCAGGGATCTCCACACACATCCTTGAGTGTATATCCACATCTGTCGATGCACAGATAAGGACACAGGCTGTTCTTATCCATGCATCAGACCTACACAAATAGGCCTGAGGTAAACAATATGTGCTAAGATTTTAGAAACCTTAATTTTAGGTATAAATATGTAATTATACATGTACACATGGGTTGCCATATTTGCCGAAAACAGGTTCTGCTTCCAGATTTGCAGTGCTAAAATAATGGTTATGATTTACTACTGCTCATAAAGCAAATCTATGAGTTGTTCAACCTACTAAAAACAATGCACTCTATGTGTGGCAGATATCTCGGCAGCTATTAAGCAGGAATCAGGGTAAGAGATGTGTCTACTGATTATTCTATAAATCTCTGTATTTAAGCACAATAACAAACCTAGAAAAGAGCATGGATGTTCAGCTGGCCATAGATGCATCCAAAAATTGGCAGGTTCAGAAGGGACTGGCTGAATTTTCTATTCATCTATGACTGTTCCCATTAGAGAGGAGTCGATCTAATGATCAACTCCTTTTGAACAGGACTACAGGTCTTGCAGCACTGATCAGTGTATTCTAACAGAGGACATGTCCCCGCTGTCAAAATACAATAGCTCAGCAGGGAGGATTCCCACATTCACCTTGTAGGTTTGGAAGAGGAATCTGCTCAGTGTTTTTTTTAATAAGCTCAATGGCCAATCTAAAAAAAACAAAAACACAAAATAACTGATCAATGTATGGCCAGCTTAAGAGTGGAAAGTTGTATAAAAAAAAATGAATATTTAACACCTAAAAAATACACATTACTGTCCTTTTAAACCCTTAAAAACAAATCCTAAATGAAACCTCAGCCCTTAACACTATGATAATCCCTTTAGATCGATACTTACCTTGTTGCATCCCTCCCAACACCAAAAAAAGTCCAGCTCTTGTGCAAAAAAGTAGCAGCACCAACATGCCATGCCCAAACCAACTGATTCCAAATTTAAAAAACCTGAAGTTAATTAACTTTCTACAAATCAACAATTTGGAGTGCAATTCCCACTGTAGAGGATTTGTTTTCTTACAAGGAATGGGTAAAATTTAAAGTACCTTATTTTTTAACCGTTTCACCATAGTAACCTAAGTGTGCGAGGGCTTACCTGTCCATCAGCTTCAAGAAAGCAATACATTGTAGCCATTAATCAAATCAGTGACATTTTGAGTACCTGTCTAATGCGCGTTAAGAGTGACTTCTTACGCTTATTTTGCAGATTGCTTATCACATAACTGGAACTAGCGATTAATATCAGTCACTCGCCTGCTTGGAGCTGCATTTATACTATGCATTCTAAATGACAGTTTTCATTTTTTTTTTTTTTTTAAAGCTAAAACAGAAGAGGAACTAAAATAGAAATTTAAGAAATAAAAAGCACTTTTAAAAGGTACTGAGGTACTGGGAATTAAGTGCTAATTAGCAGCAGTCTGCACTCTTCTGAATATTAACATCCCACAAAGAAATGTTCCACACTGAGTATAATTACACACACTTATACCTGCTGCAGAGCTAAACTATTAGCAAAATGGTATGGATGAGGAAAAGGGCAATGGGGGGGGGGGGGGGGTGCTGATAATGGACCCAAGGATAAAAGTCACATTAACCCATGCTGTGCTGGAGTTTTTTTGGCAAAACATGGGACAGGACCTTTTACCTGCAGCTGTTTGATGGTCTCTCCCCCCTTGCCAATAACTAAGCCAACTTTGGATGCAGGGATGAGGATCTCTTGGACAGTGCTGTTGCCATCCATTTCATTGTGAAAACCAGGCCCATTTCGACAGCGGTCCACGATTTGACCTAAGAGACGCTTTGCTTGCCTGTAGGGTTAAGAGATAATTGCATTCAGCTGAGTACAGTAAATATTAAAGTACAAAAACCCTGATGCTATCTTTCAGATATCACCCTGCTAGAATAAAAAATAAATAAATTTCGGAAGCGAGAAATCCGATACAGGCAACACTTTTCCTGGATTCCTTGGGCTCATGCATACTGAGCATTAAATCTCGATGTATTAGACTTCAGCATTTAGGTGCAGCCGGAAGGCACAGTCCAGCCCCACTGCCAGAAGCCTGGTAAACACTTTGGAAAGCTGCAGTAGCTGGACGGTAGAGTGAAAGTCATCAATGTTTAGGGCTGTGTGTGCCCATGGGTGAATGATCGAAACGTAAACTGCATGCGTTCTGGGCATTCCCCCTGAGTGCATACCTGCTGCCAGAGGCCCCTGGAAGAGCCTGAAAGGGAAAGACAGGTACACCAATCAGTTGTTTACAAGACAATGCATGGTGGCCAAATAGCCAACGGCAAAGCCAGCACATTGCAACTGGGAGTGGGGGGCCTGTGCCTAAATAAATTTCAGCATTTACCTGCATAGGAACTTGCACTGTATTTGCATTTGAAGGAACTTCAAGGATTTACTCAAGGGCAACATAACTGTATTGCAAGTGTAAAGGGTAAGAGAAAACATAACTTTCGTCTCCTTTTGAAGGCTGCAATTCCCCCTGGGCTCAACAGTCACTCAGCATCTCAGAACACCATGAAGGGCTTGTTCACACCATAGTGCAGAGACTTCAGTTTTTCTGCACCCACTCTGCAAGGGCACAATGAAATCAATTGTTCTCTATGTGCACTGTTCACTGCACAACACTAGTAGCACGTGCAGATTTGTTTCTGTGCAGGAATCTGCAATGTGTATAAAATTCACTGACGCGCGCATGAAAACTGATGTAAACAGATGTCTCTGCAAGTGAAATCTGCATGTCCGTTTCCATCAGTTTTTCTGCACCATGGTGTGAACAAGCCTTAACCCCTTGGCACTGGCACCTCCCGGCCCTTTAAGGGTTTCAGAAGCTGGGAGGCAGGGCAGGGTTTTAGGGTCATGTGACCGCCGTGATTCGCTGTCACGGCGGTCACATGATCAGGAAAGGTCTTTCCGTGAATACCGGACATGTGTGCTGGGAGCGCGCAGGGCTCGTGCTCTCAGCACATATGTTTTTCCTAATTGCACGCAAATGTCCTGCCGCTCGGCATCAAGACCCAGAAGCCGGGAGGCCGCACATTTTGCGTACGGCCGGCGCCAAGAGGTTAAGGCCTAGTTCACACCACAAGTGCAGAAAAACTGATGGAAACCGACACGCAGATTTCACTTGCAGAGACATCACTTTTAACGCGCACTCCAATGAGTATTATACACGTTGCAGATTCCTGCACAAGAAAAATATGTAGGATACTACTGTTGTGGTGTGAACATTACACATAGAGAACAATTGATTTTCTGCATAGGGCACAACAAAAACTGAAGTCTCTCCACCATGGTGTGAACAAGTCTTAAAAGGTAACATTACATTCTGTCACAGTCCTAGCGCTATCCAGCTATGTAAACAAAAGGAAGGGAGCTTAAAATCACCCATCCAAAATAAACTAACCCTTTCACAAAGGGCAGTGCCTCTAGCCGATCCCTTCTCTGTAGTACATCACTTGCTTTAAAACTGTAGTTGCACTTTAGATAAATGTATTTAATTTTGTCCATATCACACTCAACAGTTCAAGAACACAGAACATTTCACATTAGTCCCTGTTTCAGAGGTGCTTTCAACTTTTGCACTCAAGTGGAACACTAGAAATAAATGTTCAGGTCTTGGGGAACCTCTGCTAAAATTCATCGAGGGTCAGTAAGAAAGAATGCCCTCTTGCTTTGATGGTCCTTAAGAAAGCAGCCACAAGAATGCTACCTTTACAGAAAACAAAGATGTCTCTGCTGGTGTCATGCTGCTGGCTCTGTCAAGTGGAGCTGGACTGAAACCAAGTAGGCCCAATCATATGGGATGTAAAATCAGCCACAGCTTAAAGCAGAACTTCACTCTCTCAATCAGCATTGACTATTTAGGAATCCTGCTGCTGCTAGCAATAGTAAATAAGACAGGAAAGTATATCATATTTACTGGTTTTAAACTTTTTTTTTTCACTTCTTTAGTTACTTTAGTTTCCATGCCGAGGCAAATGAGGTCATACAACAGAGAAGTCTTCAGGATGGGAAGAGGGGATCTCTCAGCTAACCACACCCTCCTGCCTGTATGCATGAGCCAAAGGCAGATGACTTTCAGGAAGTAAATGCTACATGAATCATCTGCCCTTACTCAAGATGGCCACGGCCAGAAATGCTAGGGGGTGTTTTTCTCAGCACAATAAAGCATGGAGACATGGATGGATGGGGGGAGGCTTTAGTTTGAATATTAAAAATGAATTAAATAGTGCTTTTGGTTTGTGGTGCTCAGATATAGTGTAGTTTTGCTTTAAGAAACCTTTAGCAACCTCTGGATGAACCATGGCTGATCTACTGTCTTCATCATGAACACACGTTCAAGGGCCAGGCTAGGTGACAGCCAACTTACATACCACTATATCTGTTGACTGGTCCAAGGGGAAACCCTTGTGTGGGGCACACATATAAACTGCACACAGGAAATGTCTGATGAGAATTGTACCCAGGACCTCAGTGTTACCTGCTTAACCACCTTTTAATTCTAATTTAACATCAAGTGGCAATTTTCTATTACATTCAGGCACAACTGGGTTAAACTAGGGTTTCCTTTGAAAGGAGAGAAACCCTCTCTCTACCCAGCCACAGCACTTTCACTGCACAGAGGAAGTGCAAAGAGTAATGGATATATATAAAAAAAAAAAAAATCAAAACAAAGCAACAACTCTAGCACTTGCTGTGTAATATGCAGTTGCCAATAACACTTATTCCAGATCAGCAGTCACAGCCGCCTGGCACGAATGAGTGGGCTTATGAAACGCCCTGAAAAGTCCAGAGACTTGCTGGGATACAGCAAAACCAGCTATCTTTTCCAGACGCTGGGGATGTGAAAGATAGCTGTCTAATGCCAGTTCTAAGCTAAGAGCTTGTGATGCGGAGCAGGATTGGGGGAAGGGGGGGTAGGGGGACATACACAGCATCACCTCTACCTGCTGTGATACTTTAAGGACTTTTGTATTCGCTCACCAAGCGAAAAACGCACTACAATTGTGGAGCAGACACTGTAGCTTTTGGGGGATGAAAAAAGAAGACCAGGACTGGGGGCTGGTGGATAAAGATTTGAGGGAGATTATACTTTGCTACATGGCAATTTGTCTAAAACCTCTACTAAACACAAAAGGAGAGGATTACTAGTAGCAGCTTCTAGTGAAGGAAAGGCACCAAGACTCAGTGGAGTAACAGGAGGCAAAAAGCACTTACTCTATGCTTTCCGGCGTTCCCGTGAGCACACAGGGCCGTTCTGGCATTCCACCGCTATCTGAAAAACAAAGAATTCGGTGGAAGATATTCACTTTAATTCAATCATTTTCCAACATTTACACTAAATGTATTGTAAATATCTTGCCTCTAGAAAACCGCATGCAAACTGCAATAGAAATTATAGCTCTGCTTCTATTTCAGTATGAGCCCTAAGAAACCCACAGTTTCATCTGTATAGTCATTGGCATGTTACATGATTAACATAAAGTGGGACTCCAGCCAAAATAATGTCTTGTTGCTACCGGAGAGTGTGGGTAAGGGTTACATCCTCCGACATGTCACAGGGGCAAGAAGTAAAAGGAAATAATCCTAGCAGGGACATACACTGTAAATATAATATCATTTGGTAAAATGGAAATGTTACTTCTTGGTTAGAAATAAGGTGCTGTAAGTTTGTCCATTGGGAAATTTCTCCACCCACTCTAAATGGTTGAAGGGTTAAAAAAAAAAAAAAGAACAGAGGAGAATTGATGGAATGGTGCTTACCACAACATTATAAACTGCCTGAAACCTCATTTTAAACTGCTCATCAGAAATTGCAGCTGAAGATTATGTACAGTGAGCCGATGAGGCTTTACTGCACGGTACATCGCTGTCACTCATGTTTCCAGCACTAGGAGCTGAAAGGAGGTTATTCATGCAGCTTACAGAAGGAGGAAAGCACAAGGAGGCTGTAGGTTGTATGAAGATTATTGTCCAACAAGCACATAGGTGATACAGTAAGTTGCAGAGTAGAACCGGAAATGGGTTAACCCTTTGAGGACCGTAAGATTTTGGAACGCCAAAAGAATCAATTTTTTTGTTTTTGAAGTTCGTACTCTTCAGTTGCTGTAACTAAGCCATTTCATGAAATAATTGGCAAAAAGCTAGATCCATTTGTTGTTTGTTGATAACTAATATTTTGACTCAAACCAAAAAAAAAAAAAAAAAAAGTTTTAAGTTCTTAATCAGATGATATACGCAATTAAAAACATGGGACAAATACGTCCCTTGGTCCTCAAAGGGTTAACACCCTTAGCTAAGGAATATGGCAGAGCTGTGTGATTACCAATAGCAGCTGAGAAAACAGATTTCGTGCAAATCTACATTTAGGGTTAGTTCACACCAGAATGCGGAGTGGAAAACCAACGAATGCGGAATGGAAAACCTGCGTTCCGTGCGCATTTCCCAAACCACCTTCAAGTGCACTGCACTTGCAATCTGCAGCAGGTGTCAGCGTTAACCCAATGGCACCCCAAATGCAAGTCGCAATTGCCTACACCGGATCACACAGTAGAGTAGAACCATGACATTTGGAAGCTGTGCGATTTTTAAAGTTACTGCATGCGCTACTTTTGGTGCCATCTGGTGCAACTTCAGTCCATTCAAATTAATGGGTTGAAAATGTACTGCACTCAGACCGCATGTGAAGTTCACAGGAACACACAGCATGTTCCTGGGCAACTCATAATGTGAACCAGCCCTTAGGAATTTCAGCTGTTAAACTGGAGCTTTACTTGCAAGACACTGGGCGGTACAGATTACCAATCTATAAAATAGCAGCTATGTGGTTGTCATAAGCAACATTTCATTTACAACAAACAGTGGAGCAAAAGTAGCTGCTCAAATTTGGAGTGCCTTCTTTGAAACATCAACTTTATACAGCAAGCTTTTAGGGATTAGAACCACCGATAATCCAGACTAAGCAACTGAGGGGCTCCATTGTTTTTAGCCTTATTGGGATACTCTCAGTTGGTCCTCAAGTAGGCAAGGGCAGTGGATCAGAGAGCTGGCTCTATGGACTTTACCTTTTACCAAGCTACAGGCAAAAATTCCTATACTTCACCAGTTTTCCTAACGTTCAAAAATCAAAATAATTTAATGCATTCTCTGTAATAAGGTAAAAAAAAAACAAAACTCCCCCCACTGTTTCCTCCCGCACAACCCTAAACACTTACCCGACCCCTACTACCAGTCCAATGCTGTGCCGGCTGCAGCACCACTCCTTTCTTCCTGTTCTCACAGAAAACACTGAGGGCAACGAGAACCAAAGGCTCCAACTGCTGTCAGCCAAAATTCCTGTAAGGAGGAAGCGTGAGCATGGATAACCGGTGCTGTGTTTGTCTATGGATGCATACAACCCAGCTCACATGGCTGCCACCATAGCACTTGTTAAGGGGACACTCTTAAGAAGGGGGAGGGGGGCTCTAAAGAGGTGGTAAGGGGCTGCTCTGTGCAAATTTGCTATATACATTTGGTAAGTATAACATCTTTAATTGAAGCCCCAAAAATTACCTTTAGTATCACTTTTAAGGGCCCATTCACCATTGCACACATTGATGCAATGCAGTCCTATTCATTCTGAATTGAACCATAATGCACCTTGCGGACAGACATGCACTGTACTGCCAAAACTGCAACATGCACCTTTTTGGTGTGGTAGGCACCCTAATCAAATTAATTGGCTTCTATAATGAACATTAAACTGCACATATGCCAGTGCAGCACAATAGTGTAAATGGGCCAGAGAGTTTTGCAGTTTTTCAATAAACACAGCTAGTACAGCATCGAACAGCAAAATATATAAATGCTGATGTAGTGACAGGAAGAAAAGAACAAAAACATAGTAGGGATTTACCTGGTGCGATCTGAATTTTACAGCCGGACTCCGTTTGGATTCGTGAAATTTGTTCCCCACCCCGTCCAATTACTGGGGAAAAATTGCTACAGTTAATTGCAACACAAAAACAGAAAGAAAAAAAAAAAAAAAAAAAAGACAACAATCTGTAGGATTATGCGTTTATATTCTGTCAACACAGACATCACAGTTTTGTAAAGGCTTTATCTCCGACAGGCAAACGCCACCTGGATAAGTTAGAACAATTCCTATGGGGATCAGTGCAAGCTTAGAACACCAAATAATAATTACTTACTGAATCCCACCATTTTATCAGGCACTTTAAATTCTTCTGTCATCACAGTCCTGGAAGATATAAAACATAAATGAGAAAAAAATAAATACACAGAAGGATTCCTAAGACCACTGTCAGAGTGCACCGTTTCTCTAAATATGGCACTGACATCAGTATAAAGACAGAACCATAGCTAGAGTCTATGAGAGGATGAACAGACCTACCTACGAGTGTTCAATATGCCCCTTAATTTGTCAGAGTAGAACAGCCATTCTCAACCTATTCAACCCAAAGGAACCCTTGAAATCGTTTTCAGGTTTCCAGGAACCCCTGCTAAGATTAGTCAATTGGTGGTCATTGGGAAAATGCCACTAATAGTGATGTTGGTCAGTGAGAAGCATATCTCCCTTACAGTGGAGGTCAGAATGCCACCCTAAGAGTAATGCCGCTGGCTCTGCTAAATGGTGTTGGACCTAGAATTATACAGGCACCATCACATGGGAGGGTCGGTAAGTCTCAGCTCAAGGAACCTATAGCCAACTCTGGAGGAACCCTAGAGTTCCATGGAACCCTGGTTGAGAAGGCTGGACTGGATGATTGGGTGAAGTCGATACACAGGACAATTTTCATAAAAAGTGTAAACAACCCTCCATACATGTAGGTAATTGACTCAGAACTGCAAGTTTAGGGATATATATGGCCTTGTTTCCTGACCAGGGCATAGGAGGTTGAAACTGCAAAAGATCATACATCTACCAAGTGGAGAAGTACAGCAGTGTGAAATGTATTTTCTTGGCCTATCACTTCTGTTACCCCTCAAAGAAGGTCAGAGCTGGAGGGAACTACTCAAGTAATACTTGGTCAAATGCTGGCCATGTGTTATCAGATAGTACTATCTCCTGCAGATGTAGAGGCAAGGGTCAACCTGACTGAGTAAAAGGGCTTGTTCACAATCGCACTGCCTGTGATCTGCAGAGGGGGTCAATGCAATGTTAAAAACATCCCAAAACACAAGTCACAAACGCAGTGCATTTGCCCGCACAGCACAAAAGTACCATGCAATCCAGCTGCTGTGCGTTTCAAAAAATGTATGCATGCACTACTTTTGGTGAGGTTCACTTTCAGCCCAATCAAAATTAATGGGCTGAAATCGCAACGCACAGATTTCCTGTGCGATTCACATGCAGTTCCTAGTGTGAATGGATCCTAAACTTTGTGGGTAGTTTAAGCAGATCATCATGTTACATAGCTGGAGTGAAAGGAGACACTTTCTTAAAAAAAAAAAAAAGTTGCAAGGCTGTGCAATCGACCCATTGGATTTAATATGTACAGAGTCACTGAACTGTGACAAAGTGAAATCAGGAGTTCTGGGGGATCACCAAACTTTCTAACCTGCATGCTTGTTCCAGGTCAGTATCTCAAAAGAAGTGAAGCAAGACACAGCCAGGCAATTGGCGTTTAGAGACGGTAACCTGCATAAGCAGCCCTTGCATTTCCTTCAATATGGGCTTCTTTTCATGACTGTAGTCAGTACAGGACTGACCACTGGAGCAGAGACCTTGCAGACAAAACTCTCGAATATAAAAGAAAACGTAAACCAGTCCTGGCCAAACTGTTAATGTTTGGTGAACAAAGGCCAACATTAAAACATGTATTGAGTCTTGCCTTTTACAACAGTTTTAAGTCCATTACATCACCATGTATGGACCCTTGCCCTCCTGGTCTGTGTCGCCGAGCTAAAATACCGGCTCCTATAAATCACGGTATTATTGACTGTTCCCCATTTTGGCGAGTGCTCGAGTGTATGAAATCTGTCTATTTCCCCTCCCGTGTTACAATCTCATGCTAGAGTACAGATGGTGGATCAATAAACAATTAGATAGAGATCAATAAGTAATAAAATAGAGTCCAGTGCTTACCTTTGATGTACTAGAGCCCCTAGCTGGTTGCCAACTGTGGGAGAGAAGAGGGGGGAAAATAAGAAAAAAAAAAGAAAAAAAAATGTTATTTAAGATGAGCTAAGTCCATCTCGCTATAAAATAAACACACAGACTGCCGGGAGGGTGAGGGTGGCTGGTGCAGACATTTTGGCCTGATATAGATGCATTATGGATTATGTCACTGGAATAAACATTCTATAAATTGCACAGACCAGCTGGGCAGTCGCTGTGACATTGATCGCTTGCTCTCATGCGGGGGGGGTGGGGGGGGGGGGGGGGGGGGGGGGGGGGGGACCAGGAAAACATACTGTCAACCCCCCCCCCCTCCTCATGTCCCTCACTAGTTAGGAACATAAAAAAAAAAAAATCTTTAAATCCTCCCCACTGGCCAGCAAATTAAACATGATGTAAAGATTAGGCAGATTGGTGTACACATTAATACAGGCCAACAGAGGATCTCAAAAGACATATGTCTGTTCTCATAAATGCCGATCAATAGCCCAAATAACAGGCCGGGATTTTGCTCTCTATACATAAATGCGTCCACTGGGAATTTGTTTGGTTAGAGAATTCCTTCTTGTGCGGGAGCCCTATTTATAGTGTGGAATAGTTACAAGGTAATTTACAGCCTAAATGCAGGAGGCTTCACTAGAAAAAGCCAACAGGTGTGCCTGCTAGAATCAAGTTATGGTAAGTACACAGAGGTGGTTCTCCGGCATGCATCTCATTGAATCGAGTATTATCCAAGGCACTATGTATATAGCTGAGCACACAGAGCTACAAAACACATTCACACTCCTGTGGATGAGGACGACAGGTTTAGTTACAAAGTAAACTAGACGATGATTGGTGATGAACGTCCAGATTGACCACCAAAGCTCTGAAGGCGGAGCAAAGCTCAATTCTCAAAGAAATTTATCAAGCCCAAAAAAACATTGTGCATCTTCGTACTGCTGAATTTGCTTGTAGGTCCTCATGCACACTTGATATTGTTACAGCGGCTGTTTTTGGCTTTTGATGTTTTTTTCTACAGTCAGTAAACCCCCCCAGCATGTTATCCTATGCGTCCATGCACACAGACCGTAATCGATGTTTTTTTAGCTGGAAAAAACCCCCAAAACGTAGCTGTAAAAATGCTCTAACGCTGAAAAACGCAGTTAAATGGCGGTTTTGGACTTTTATTAAAAAAAATATTTTTTTTAAGTTATAAAAAACGCTAAAAAAACTGCAAACGTGGAAAAACACAGCAAAACGCTAATGCAAAAAAACTAAAATTTGTTAACGTGACTTTACACAGCTAACGTTACCAGCATTATCAAAACGTCCCGTGTGCATGAGGGCTAAAGGAGCTCCTGATCCCTTAACCACTTCCCGACCAGCCGTTGTATATAAACGGGCCGGACGGTGGCAGTGCAGGGTCGGGTGGCCGTTTATAAACGGCCTCCCCGCACCCTGCTTGTGCGCGCTCCCTGGGAGCGCGCAGCACTGCGATACGGTGCCCGCCGTGTCCTCCGGACACAGTGAAACACTGATCGTCGGATGGGACCTCTGTACGAGGTCCCGATCATGTGATCACCGATTGGCCAATCAGTGATCACATGCAAAGTAGTAAGCAAGATGTCACTTGTGACATCATTGCTTACTACGTGTGAAATCTGTGAATGATCACAGAGGTCACATGGTACAAGGCTATTCACAACAGCCTTGTACCATGTGACAAGCTGTGACCAATCACAGCTCTCACAGTACTTCTCAATGAGTGCAAGAATGCACACAGAGAGAAAGAGAAATGATTGCTTTTACATCCTATATGGGTGTAAAAGCAATAAGTGTAAAAAAAAAAAAATAAAAATCTTCATCACCCCCCACAAGTAGTACAGTGTCACCATGGTGACACTGTACTGCTAGGGTGACAGTATGTAAAAAAAAAATAAAAATAAAAAAATAAAATAAAAATGTAAAAAAAAAAAAAATGTTTAAAAATTATAATTTTTGGTTATAAACTAATTTGGATTTTTTTTACTAAAAAGATAACGGAATAAATTTTGGCAAAGATTTATGATGAAAAATTATTTATTTGCAAAATTTTATTTAAAAAAAAAAACACTTTCAAAATTTTTGGACTTTTTCATTTACATAGCAAAAAAAATAAAAATCCCAGCGGTGAATAAATACCACCAAAATAAAGCTTTATCTGTCTCAAAAAAATGGTAAAAAATTAATTTGGGTACAGTGTTGCATGACCGGGCAATTGTCTTTCAAAGTGTGATAGCGCTGAAAATTGCCCTGGTGAGGAAGGGGGTAAAAGTGTCCGGAGTGGAAGTGGTTAAAGCAGACTGTTCTGGCTAGTAACCTGCAGATAAGGACCACTGCAGATTGTAAGAAAGCAGAGGTTTCTCTGCAGCAATCCAACATACCCTCCCCACTCATACTTCCAGCAGATTGCATGTCTTCAGCCATGGTCTACATTACACTGTGTAGTCCACGTTTGCTTGGGCACAGCAGCCCATTCATTTGAATGGGCTACTGTGCCGCATTTCCCACAGGAAAAGGTGCATGCATCTTTTTGAAAATGCGGCTGGCAGCAAAACCGCATGGTCTTTTTGACCATGCAATTTCCCTGCAGTTCCGGAAATCCACAATCGCCCTGCCGCTGTAATGTGTGCACCTTCCAGACTTCACAAGATACACTCTTGCCATTTAAAAACAAACAAAAACGAAAAAAAAACAGACACTGAAAATGGAGACAAGTTTTCCCCTGTACAGAGCAATAATGCAACATGTTCTTGATTTTGAAATTAAAATCTGGGCACCTGGGTTGAGAAAAAAAAAAAAAAAAAAAAAAGATGTCCTGGACTGCAGTGTATGGAAGACTTCACCTATGTACACCTAAACATCAACATTCTAAAGTTGACCTAAAATCAAAAAGTGGAGTATTGCTGTTATAGGAAATCTCTAGAAATGTTAATTGTGCACAAGCAGCACTGTGAAAACATACCTATCTAGTTCCTCCCGAAAAATAGTGCACTTCTCTTTCCTAAAGCCTACTAAATGTTTAGCTGCAGTGGGGGTTCCCCATCTGAGGCACTGCTGCCGATGCCTGCTAGTCTCACAAGTATTGGAGAGATCACTATTCTACTTGCTGGAGCAGAAACTGTGCACGAGGGCCTGCACTGCAAGGATCTCCCTGTTGCTTCCATTCTGTGGATATGTGCTCTGTGTACTTGTCCTGGTTCTGCTGCTTAGCTGTTACTTTAATCATCAAGGGAACATTAATGACATAAAGCACAGCCCTGCTCTTCCACCAAGAAGGTCACCTATATAAAAGACACGGTCAAGTCCTGGGGAAAAGATCAGCTGCAGGGAGGACACAGGCACTACGGTGATTAATCTTTTGCCCTATGCCTTTTTTATGCACCACTTCCAATTCACATCGTCCTCAAAGCTAAAGTCTATGTTTTTTTTTTGGTTTAGTTAAATTGGTCCAGAGTGGTCCAAGTTAAGTATACATATTCTATAGCTATGGGACCACTAAGGAGTCAGACAATCACTGTAGTAGCCAGGACTACTACAGTAATTGCCATCAGGTGGTGATGTCACTTTCTCCACCTTATCCAGTCAGAGAACCTTGAATTGGAGAAAAAAAAAAAAACAAAAAACAATGAGATATGTAAACAGAGGCCATGCCAAGAAAGCAATGCTCGTGCAGAAGGGAAGCCACTTGGCACTGGGCTCGTAGACTGCAGCAATCACTGTAGTAGCACCACACATTACAGTAATTCTTTGCTTCCACAGCAGTCCCTCAGATAAGGGACACTTATATGTACATTGGTCCAAGCTGGACCAATGCAGCTATTCAATAAAAACCATACCCAAGGTTCAGCTTTAAGTGGCTACCAAGGGGTATTTAAAACACAGGAAATGTTACAGAGCCGGGGGATTAAGCCACTGTTTAAAGTAACATACCCCAATTCTAGAAAAGACAGCTGTACTCCTGACTTAGCTGAAAGTCTAGATTTGCATAAATCATGCATCTGTGTAAAAGATCCACCAGCTATGTGCAGGTACTTTTGGGACTCACCATGACTTGACAGAGTAAAATTGCAAACCTGATATTGCCTATGGGCTTACTTTAGGAGTTTTTTCTAATTTCAGCTATCAAAGCAAACCCACAGTGAAATGTTAAGTATGTTACTAGTCTTCTGATTACAAATAAAATGCAACATAAGGGCTCAGCTATATTCTGCAGAAACTCCTTGCTCTGGCCTATCAGACCAGTCGCATGTCCAGATGCTGCTGTTTAGCGACGTCATCTCAGCTGAAGGGGCCTGCGAGTTCTGCCTACTCACTGGCTTTATCTAAACATCACTTCCAATTGCCTTCAGCTGTGGCCAAAAACAGCAGCCACGGAAGTCACCGTTTTTTCAGGATAGGCAAAACGTGTTATTTTGCCCAGCAAAGCTGCTAACTTACATTTAAATGTGGTGAGCAGAAAGGAAATGCAGAGCCTCACAATGTTCCTGGTGTGATCAGCTGTTGGCAAACAACTGCAGGGCTGCCAAACAATGCTGAGTCACTGTACTTCTATAGCTCTGAAGACAGGTGACACATGGGATCAGCTACAGTGAACTGCAACCTATTCTGTAGCTGCTGCTGTGTTGGAGTACTTGCAGGTAGACTGTCATTTTTTAAAATAAATGCCCAACTTCCTCTGGAGCTCTCCTTGCATCATGACAGAAGTATGTGCAATGATCTGCACACATGCACTTGTGGTGTGACAGGTGTTCCTCAAGATCTGCCAAGTTTATAGAGAGCACTCAGTTGTGAATCGATGAGCTGTGGAAGATCTTCAATTGTTTTTTTTTTTTTTTTTTGCAATAAAGAACCACCTCCCACCACCCCGCCAACTACACAGCAGACAGGCAATCCAATTCCATCTTTGTCCTTTTAGCTAACCAACACAAAGCACATTTGCCAGGAATAGCTTCTAAGCTTTATTTAACCACTTGCCCT